TATAAGCTGCCCATGCCTGCGCATCGCCCTCGTTTCTACACGAGCTGTGATGAGCTGCGGGTTGATAGATCGGTATAGCGCACGCAGTAAACAAAACTTTTACTCAAGCGTCTTCGCACGCTGGTTGCTAATATGTTTTATACGTATAGGCCGACAGGAACGTGTATTGCATCCGCGTACGTTAAACTATGGCACCAGGTGTGTGGTCAGCTTTCAGCTATACAACAATCGTGTGCCTATATAAATGACTTTATAAATATATATATATATATATACACGCGCGCACACATGCACCCACACATGCTACACACGCACGTAGGCTCATACACACATATGTAACAGTGGGCCAAGCCCCACCCGTTGTTACGCGGTATGATACTAGTTCAATACTAGTGCCGTACGATTCGATATGTGCGACTCGGGTAACGCACGGTTATTGCCGTCTCTGCGCGAGGCAAGCAGCTATTTCCTAAAGAAAGCGTCTGCGCTATTTCCTAACAACGACGCCATGTTGCGAATGTAGCTCTGGCGTGGCTAACTGCGTAGAAGCCACGAACAAACCCGACGCCCGCTCGGACACGTGGTACAAAAAGTGTGCATCTTGCTACCAACTTTGGCCGTGAAGCGCGCCCCGCAGCCAGAGAGAAATAAGGTGTGGCAAGAAAAAAAGATAGTTGGAAAAGTAGAGAGCTTAGAAGAAAGTCGTGTTTTCGTGTGCTGTTGAAAACCATCTTAGTTTCTTTATGTGTGATGACTCGGCGGCTGAATCTACTGTGTTTTCTGAATCTACTGGACTGTTATCACAACTATTTCTCCGCTGCTAAATAAATCATTACTCGATTTATTTACTGACTATCTAGTTTTCCTATATCTACGAGCACGCATCTACAGGAACCTTGCTTCCACACTACGCACGAATAACATTAATATCTAATGATATCTGCCCGTATGAGCCTGGTAGAAACACAACGCAAGGACATACATACGAACGGCACATCATCGTAAATGAACGGGTAGGATATAATTTTGACGCCATGCAGTGACCAACGTATCACTTGACTAGTGGTGCCCCCGGACGCCCCGTCCTTGTGCAAACCGAAGGTTTGAGTTCATATATGCAGCGGCACGCTCCCACTACTGGCAATTTAATAAAAAACAGGGAATTACATATGGGAATTCACTGGGAATTTGTCTAATCTAAATTCGTGGGCAACAGTGACTGACTTGACACAGCGTTTGCTGGTAAGCATGTCATCGTAGCATCGTTGAAAATTTTTGGCATTTAAAAGCGAACGAAAAACTATAATAAAACTTAAATAACCCTAATTACCTCAATAACTACGCCCACCGCTTTCCCGAGCAATTAACGCCGGGTACCCGGCTAGTTTTTTATAATATTAATAGATATATATATAATTATAGTTCCGACTCGTCTTTCCTACACATAGTCAAAATCCGGAGAGATATGATCGATCCATCTATCTATCATAGATAGATAGATAGATAGATAGATAGATAGATAGATAGATAGATAGATAGATAGATAGATAGATAGATACCAGCTATCTATCTATCTATCTATCTATCTATCTATCTATCTATCTATCTATCTATCTATCTATCTATCTATCTATCTATCTATCTATCTATCTATCTATCTGTCTATTTATCTAGATAGATAGATAGATAGATAGATATAGATAGATAGATAGATAGATAGATAGATCCCATCTATTTATCTATCTAACTAACTAACCAAATTTCTAACTATCTGTCTGCCTGTCTATCAATCTATCTATCTATCTATTTATTTATCTATCTATCTATCTATCTATCTATCTATCTATCTATCTATCTATCTATCTATCTATCTATCTATCTAGCTATCTATATACATCTCTATATATATATATATATATGTATAAATTATTATTATTATTATTATTATTATTATTATTATTATTATTATTATTACCTCCGCCA